TGTTGAAACCAAGCAAAACAAAAATGGCTTTCAAATAAGAAAGCCGAGTCAGGACGGATGTACCCCCATATAGGATTAATGTAAAAAGTTAATCTAAGAATACAGGAATTCAACAATGGGACACAGCATGCAGAGAAGTATATGGCTTAATAACTTACTGCACTTCGTAATAAAAATTATAATATTGAAGAATATAAGGCACCCGGAGATCGTCTCTGTGGTCTAGTGGTTCCTGACTACAGATCAAGAGGTCCCGTGGTCTATTCCCGGCGCTACCAGATTTTCTGAGAAATAGTGAGTCTCGAACGGGGTCCACAGCCTCGTGGGGATAACTGAGGAGCTATTTCAAGGAAATAGCGGCTCCTGTCTAGAAAACCGAGATTAACGGCCGCGGTGATCCATTGCGCTGGCCACGCGACACTCTCTATCCGCAAAAGTTAGCACTAACTTCGCCGACAAGCGTCTGTCGCTCGGTCGGTAAAGTTCGCTTACGGACTATAAGCCACGGATAAGGCAACCGGAAAAGAGGGAAATCAATTTGGAAAGCATAAAACTATGACATTGGATTCAACATAGGAACAGAGAGAGGTTATATAAATAGGAAAGATGCTGAACAGGATACAGGAGTGAGGATGGAGAGTGAAGGATCCAATATGGACGATGTAAAGAAGGTTTGTTGTAATCTGTACAAAACAACGGCCTTGCCACAACTCCGGCCGCTAAGCGCGGCAACCCACTTTGAATCCGAAGTCAGTTCATGTAGGATTTATGGTGGACTAACTGGTTCTGGGGTAGGTATTTTTTCACATATTCCTGTCCCCCTTGCCAGGTTCAATTCTTTGTGGTATGATTTTGCGATATTCTGCACAACAGTAAGTTAGAAAATTAAAAAGTTATACAATCTCTTCTCAGCAATAACAGATGTTGACACGACAGTGTCTTATCTTTTTCATTTTCTGAACTTACTGTTATGTAGACTGTTTCAAAAATCATATTATTTTAGGTTTAATTCTATCAAATGCTTCGTTTCTTTCGTGTATCATTCGGGCCTGGAATAATGGATCCCTTAAGGCCCCAATACCAAGGTACTCGATGTTATCCCACCCTAAGAATAACAGAAATGTGATGAAGTGTCTGAAGTGTTCATAGGAAGCGAGAAGAGTTGAACTTTCGACGGGCGTTATATAATTGAAACGCATAAGTGGCTATTCGTGTAAGATTTGAGGTTTTCACAGCGGTGACTATGAAGAAAGCCGTCTTCTGGGATGTGGCGCTATGTAGATATTGTGTTAACCGACGTTTCGGACGAACGTATCGCCTCCATCTTCAGGGTAGAAGAAAAAACAAAACCCGCGAGCGAGGAACCAGCGTGAGCAGCACGCTATTACTCCCTTAAGTAATGTGTCCTTTTAAATGAATTGCGCGTCTGTGAAAACCAGAAAACTGGAGTCGTGTTTGTATCAAGTTGCATTGAAATATGTCGTAGGACTTCGTATTCTTCTTCACTGACGGATTACGCCCTCTTTTCTGTTTCCCTTCAGAATAAATCTGAACTGTGGATCCTGTGGTTAGCCGGTAGGACTCGTTGTACAGGGGATCAACCCTGTCGCAAGGCCGCTACCTACACAGGACAACACAAAAGCAGAAAAAGCAGACAAACATCTGTGTCTCAAGTGGGATTCGAACCCATGATCCCAGTGTCTGAGCTGGCGGAGACATTTCGTGCCTTCGACCACACTGGCACTGTGATCTGCGTTTTGATTTATGTTAGCTGATAAGTTGGCCTTTAAAAGTGATGTGAATTTACCAACAACATGGTTCTTTCAAGGCCGGTCACGGTAGCTGAGCGGTCCAAGGCATGTACTGTCTTTGCTCGCTTGGAAACCGGGATAGTGGGTTCGAATCCCACTCAGGGCATGGATGTTTAGTTTGTGTGTGTACGTTTTTCTGTTTTTGTGTACAGCTAGCGGCCTTGCGACGAGCTGATCACCCGCCCAAGGAGTCCTACCGAATGTATAAGATCTAGAAAAACCGAAGTGAACGGAGAAGTTCATGGAGGTAGGCCTAGGCCCACTAGGGCTGTAGTACCAAGGAAAAAAGAAAAAAATGGTCTTTTCAAATAATTCAGGTCCATCTTAATGAGTGTGAAAGAAATTGGCCCAATAATTTGATCACGGTTACTAGGAGACGGACGGATGTGTTGAATGAGTAAATTGTTGGAGGAATTTCTACTTCATTACGCAAGTGAAACGTATCCATTGTTTTTCTGTAAGGTAGATAGTAGATTACCTCAAAGGTTAAAAAAGCACCGCGTCACTAGTGTTATATGAACCGACTATAGGTGCCACGTGTGACAGATATCTTGGAAATATTAGAGTGCTGACATCAAATAACGAATTGCATGGTGTTCTAAGAAAGACGGAGACAAAGTTTTATTTGGCTCAAATTCCAGGAAAGAAAAGAGATCGAAAGCAATTATGGAGATTAATTCACTCCGGACACTGATTAAAAGTCACGCACACTAGTCATAACACAGACTATTTCGTTCTAAGGACACATGCGAACAATTCAGCAAAGGGGTAACATCGAGATTTTCTTCTTCGATTTCGATTTGCTCAATTTTTGGCATGTTTTCTGTGCCGCTACGACTGTTGTATCACAGAGCGGACATTTCAAGGACGCAGACCACTGAACTGACAAGGAGAGAGAGACTGACTGAAGAGGTCTGGGTTGCAGTGGGGTGTCTGCTGTTTGACCGACTCAATTTAAGTCTAGAGTGCAGTTACGCTATTGAAAATTGTACCAAAAGCAAGTGGTTTTCTATAGAATTGTGTCGTGTGGTACATATTTTGTTGTTTCACCAAGATCCCGTAAGGACAGTGAAAACCTGAGTATGGTGAGTATACTTGCCGGGAAGGAAATGGCTGTTTGCCCTGGCTGGCTGAGTAGTGGGGAGTCCTTGGGCGGCCATTTGTAAGACAACGTTGCAGTTCTATCAGTGCTGGAGGCAATTTTGAAGAAAGCAGGATTATAATGGGTCAGATAAATTTGTAATATGGAGCAAAGTACGTAAACGTTTTCCTGAATTGTATAATTTCTAAACAGTTAATTAATGACTAAAGATTGTAATATGATTTTTGCAGTGTTTAGTCTGTTGCCTGTGAAATATAGAATGGTATGTTTAATCGAATTCATAGATGAAGGACAAAACAACCAGGTCGCAAAGCAGTGAATTTAGTAATAGCCTAATTATTAGTAGGTATTAAAAGGAATAGGAACTTCGTATTAGGGCAAACACGGGCCAGTTTCTTTAACCACACCGATAAATAGAACTGAAAGAAGGTATGTAAGTGTTTGAGTTATTATTTGTTCCCTAAATTGGGCTTTACATACATTTTGAACAACAAAGCAACCTGTAACACGTCACTGAGCTTACACTTGTAAAATTATGAGCCAAAAGACACTTCTCTATGAATTCTGGAATTATTTTTAGTCCAAATCTTCAGTTATTCAGTTATTTTTCAAATTTTATGAGTTCCCGCATAGCAGGAAATCAGTATTGGAAAAGGCCTCGTCACCAACTTCTAACCAAGATATCTGCTCCGTGTTTACATTTTACAGTCTAAGTTCTGACATGGCTGACATATGTTGAGTAAATCCTTCTACGTTTGGACGTGCACGAAAAACTTAAGAAACTATTCCCTATATTATTTCTTTATTGCTAGTGGGGTGGGACTGAGCCTCTTGCACTGCGGCCACTTCTGGCCTCTTGTACCAGCCCCAGATGATAGGTTAGGGTGATTGTGGAGAAATTTGTGGAATGAAGATTGGCAGGGGAAACCGAAGTACTCGGAGAAAACCTGCCCTAGCGCCACTTTGTCCACCTCAAATCCCACTTGACCAGACCAGGGTGCTGAGGAGAATATTTAGACCAAAGAGAGACGAAGTGACAGGAGGTTGGAGAAAACTGCATAATGAGGAGCTTCATAACTTGTACTGTTCTCCAAGTATAATTATAATGATCAGGTCAAGGAGATTCATGTGGACAGGGCATGTAGCAGGAATGAGGGAGAAGAGGAATTCATATAGGATATTGGTGGGAAAACCAGAAGGAAAGAGACCACTATTAAGACCAAGACATAGGTGGATGGGTAATATTAAAATACATCTCAGTCAGATAAGATGGGATGATATGGACTGGGTTGATCTGTCTGTGGAGGGCTCTTGTGAACGCTTTAGTGAACCTTCAAGTTCCATAAACTATTGGGAAGTTCCTGACTGGCTGCACAACTTGAGGCTTCTGAAGAAGGGCTCAGCTCCATGAAATTATTTATGTTTTAATTCACTGACAGCCATGAGATTAATACCTTTCCATGGAGATGTGTATTGTTGCTAAGATAATACTGAGCGTAATGTTTTTTATCTTTGGAATTTTATGGAATTAAACAGCGAACCTCGCGGGCCATCATCGCTTACTGTTGCAGCCGGCAAATCAGGCATCTACCCCCCCCCCCGTATGCTTCTTTCCTGAATACTCTAGGACCTTTAATAAATAGTCTTAAAATGATTAAACGTAACTTTATAAGCACATTTGCAGCTCGTCCCATCTCTAAGAAGCGACCACACCTCTTGGAAACCTGGTCGCCACCTCCCAGAAAATTTGGTTGCCCCCTTAGTGGAGGATAGCCTCTATTGCTGTTGAGGAGTGTTTACCGCGACGTTGCATAGTAACGGTGGCAGCACGGACTCCATAGAAAGCCAGTTACGTGATAGTTACCTCGCTAGTATATTGGCGCGTTGACTGTTGCCTAGCAACGAACTATAAACATTGATCCTATTGTTGAGTGCGCTTACGCGACTGAAGGTTGTTTACAGGTCGTTACCTAGAAACACTCTGGCTACCTACGTTACAAGAATAATAGGATTTTTTTTTGAAGAAAAATGGTATTGCGACGTACTGTGTATCACCAGGCATAAATATCTAACCTTGTATATTAAACTAATCACATAAGATTAGGAATAAGGTTGAAACAACAACTATGTTTTGTAAGAGGTTCAGTAAGATATTCAGCAGCAATGTAAATACTACATCAACGCTGCAGCGTGTTGCTTCCAAGAAACCAAAATATGGTAGATCTGCCAACTTCCAAATCCCTGAAGAAAAGCGTAGCATAATTTATTTTCACAATCACGTGGTCAAGGGAATGAGAAGATAAATTAGGAAATTAAAACTGTGCGCAGTTTCAGAAAGTAATTGTACTTTTTTTTTTCCTTGGCACTACAGCCTCAGTGGGCCTAGGCCTACCTCCATGTACTCCGTTCACTTCGGTTTTTCTAGATCTTACACACACGATAGGACTCCTTGGGCGAGTGATCAGCTCGTCGCAAGGCCTCTACCTGTAGACAAACACAGAAAAACGCACACAACATCCATGCCTTGAGTGGGATTCGAACCCACGATCCCGGCTTCCGAGCGAGCGAAGACAGTGCATGCTTTAGACCGCTCGGCTACCGTGACCGGCAATTGTACTATTATATTCAGTATTAAAAGTACGATCTTGTGGATTGTAGCTCGGCGTAATTCGGACAGATCCCGAAGGTTAAGTCAAGAAAACAAACAGCAGTAGTTGAGCTTGTAACCTGACTCTGCTTTTTTGATTGGCTTACCTTTCGACCCTGAATATGGAAGTCATATTTTCCTAGAAAGCCTAGGGCACTTTTCAAACTACACGGCATTGCTACTCAGAAGGTCACACGCTTCATAGTTGCCACCGCGGGGACATCAATTCCTATATATATTACGTTGGGTAGAGAGAGAATAAAAAATTGTTTACGATTTGAAATACTTGTAGTTACCTTCCTCAACAAGGAATTTCCCAGTCTGTTGGAGCGGAACGCCCTCGAGTGCACAAAGGTGTGGTGTGACACGGTTTGGATTCAGTCATGATTAATTGCCGGGAAGGTCGCTTGAAACAGTGTGGAAATTAATACTGAGGCATGACGTTATTCGTATCAGAAAATTTCTTTTTAAACTACGTCATTCACTAAAGATCCTGAGGACGAAATATGCATCAGTGTAGAATATGAACTTCAGGCTTTATATTGTCTGGCTGAATTTCAGTAAGTGAACACTTAGCAATTGCTGAATATGAATTCGTAAATGCAATTAAAGCCAGTCACGGTAGCCAAGCGGTCTAAGGCATGTACTGTCTTCGCTCGCTCGGAAACCGGGATCGTGAGTTCGAATCCCACTCAGGGAATGGATGTTTAGTTTGTGTGTGTGCGTTTTTGTGTGTTCATATACAGGTAGAGGCCTTATGACGAACTGATCACCCGCCCAAGGAGTCCTACCGAATGTGTAAGATCTAGAAAAACCGAAGTGAACGGAGAAGTTCATGGAGGTAGGCCTAGGCCCACTGGGGCTGTAATGCCAAGGAAAAAAAAACAACTGAAATTAAAAATAAAAGAGCAAGATAATTAATTACGTCTCAAACTATTATTCCCCGACGGATAAGTGTAACTTTTGAATTCATTTTCATACTCTAACTGTCGTAAATTTTACTATTTCACGCGGCTATGGTGGGAGGAAGGGGGGGGGCAGTCTTTCTTAAACGACAGACTTACATGTTATCTTTCCTGAACCACCATCCACAATCGAGCATCATGAAGCACACTACAGCTGCCTCCCCTGTCTTCCTTCTTCAGGTCATTGATAATAATTATTTAATAATTCGATTTCCAACCACTTTGCTGTCTATGTCCATCGTACATGGATGGCTGGCCTCTCGGTGTCGCCACTCGCCAGTAATCATGTCTGCGGCATTTAGTGACATAATTAGTGGTTCAGCGCTTGAGTGCTGCCCATGTGAGAAAAAAGAGTCCGAACTGTGATCTGTGATTAACGTGCCCCAAAGTGACTTTAACACTATCCCCACTTTCAAACTTCGTGGTTATCAACTGCATACTCATAAAAAATTACCACTCATGATCATCTGTTTTATACTTATATATGCCTATATAATGTTACCATTCAGATCCTGAGGAAGAAGGCGACTGGGGTTTTGACATGCTGAAATTACCACGAAGGCTTTACGGACACAGTGGATATAGATCTATATACTTTTTTACGGGAGGTTTTTTCTTCAGAGCGTTCACACCGATTCTCGGGCCTATCCAATGGGTACCGGAAATTTTTTCGGCGGGGGTAATGCGGAAAGGGCATTAAGTTGACTCACCTCCACTCCCCCATACGTGTTAATGGCATGGTGCTTAATTACTTAAGTACAGATAAAGTTTTACTGATTTTTTTTTTCCACAAATCCATTTCATCCATTTCTTGAGTTTATCTAGTTTAGAAACTTCCCAAATTCCGGAGACTTCGGAGTGAGTCATTTTGCAGCCGAGAACTGTGTGAATTTCGCGATGTCATTAGGTTTTACGGGGATCTCGGAAATGTTCTGTGCTGTTCCCATTGTCTATCTCATTCGAAGTTTGTAAGTTGAAATCCTGACTTATAATATTGCTAATTATGCTTATCTAATAATACACTATATCGGATATATTCTTATAGACTTCGGAGTTAAGGGGCCCAAACACGTACGAGTCTGGCTCGCGAGTCCTACTCGGCTAAGTTTCTAATGAGCCAAACTCGTCCTCGTGTGTGTCGCAAAGTAGGGAGTCAGTTCATGCGTTTGTGGTGAAATTAATCCAAGCCCGGCTCCCGAGTCAAGCTCGCCGAGCCGGAATCACTAGCCAGAGTGGTACGTGTATGGGCCCCTTTAGGAGGCAGGAGGCGATAGTAAAGAATTCTGGCAAAGAGTTGAAGGGACACCATGAAATGCAAATATACAAGATGAGCTTCAGTTTTGCCTTTAGGAGAAGAGATGTTTCATTTTCTTGTCGGATGGCCAGCGTTTCTACCAAGATAACTGGTAACATCGAACGATTTCTTTGCAGATGGACGAAGACAAGTCCCTCGTTTACTCGGCCTTGTTGCTGGTCGTCGCATCTTCCGTTGCAGTGCTTTGGTTTCTGAAACGTCGTGGGCCACCTGTTCCTCCGGGTCCCTGTGGGGTCCCTCTACTGGGATTCTTACCTTGGATTGACCCAAAGGCTCCTCATCTGACCTTCACCCGTTTAGCAAAGCACTACGGTCCCATTTACTCCCTGAAGTTGGGAAATGTGTTCACCGTGGTATTGTCAGACCCACATCTCATCAGACAAGCTTTTGCTAAGGATATCTTCGTGGGGCGGGCCCCACTCTATCTCACGCATGGCATCATGAAGGGCAACGGTGAGTGTTTTGTTTTTCCTTTTATGAAAGTGAAACAAGGGAACTCAGTAACTGAGTTTTGGAGTTATAACAAACATTATAAGCTTGTAATACAGAACTGTGGATGTTTGAGCATTTGTGGCTGAGTGTGGTCATAAGGGAAACAAGAAATTCACATTCAGTTTTTGTTGGTGAACCTAATTTTGAAGGACAATTCGTGAGACATGGGCGTAGGTTGGAGGATAATATCAAAATGCATGTTATAAACAAACAGGTTGCGAAATTTAGGATTGTTGTGTTCCGCCTTAGAATTGTTTCTGATGGTAAACTGTGATCTTTCGAATTCCTTAACAGCAAGATCTGTGAATAACAAAGTCTAAACGAGGATGATCAACCGCGAAACTATTTTAAAATGTGCGGAGATAAAATATTAGGTGTGGATTTATAAACAGAAAACAGCATTAAGCAGACAGCACGAAAACGCTGATCGCTTCATGTTGGTTTATTGCTTGGCTTACTTTTCAACCCTAAAGATGAAGGAGACATGTTTCTCTGAAACACCTGTTTACTTTCAACGGATCATATGAAGTCATGTCCCAAAAGACAGAACTCTTCAACTTAACGCTTCTTATTGTTGAGGCAAACATATCTTCTTAAAGCGAACTTGTAATTCATTGTGGTGAGTCAAGGAGAATACTAATATATTTTAGTAAATTTCTCGTCTCTTGGTTTATCTCTGCCAGTGTTTCTTTTATAATTTTTTTTGTTCGCAATATTTATTTTTTGTAGGAATATTATAATCCATGGGTTATGAATGCACGGGGAAGAGAATATAGTGAGAAAGGATGTAAAGTAAAGTAAAGTAAAGTAAAGTAAAGTAAAGGTATGCCGCGCCATAGCTCAAGCGATTAGTCGCTGGCGTCCCACCGCAGCAGCCCGTCTTCGATCCCGGGTCTGGTCAAGTGGGACTTGTGGTGGGCAAAGTGGCGCTGGGACAGGTTTTCTCCGAGTACTTCGGTTTCCGCTGCCAATCTTTATTCCACCAATTGCTTCCCAATCACCCTAACCTATCATCTGGGGTTGGTACAATAGGCCAGAAGTGGCCGCAGTACAAGAAACTTAGTCCCACTCCATTAGCAATAAAAGTAAAGGTATCCCTGTAACAGGTCGTGGAGTTCCATAGGTTTATGAGATGTTGAGGTTCCCACATTTTCTAGACAACCGGCTCACAGATGGCGGTGAGGTTGTCAGCCTTACGGCGCGGCCGCCCTTTATCCCCAGGAATATTCCTGGTACTCATTTCTGTTAGAGGCTGAGCCGATCACAGGGCCATAGTGCGGCCGGAAAGATTAGGTTAATTGAAGAAAATCCAGTGACCTCATCGGGACTTGAACCCGCGACCTTCCGGCTTGTAGCATAGTGCCTCGACCAACTACGCCACCGCGTGCCCCGAGGAAGAATGTACGTATATGTAAACTACGTGTATTGACAATTCCTTTGGACTTGTGATTCTCAGGGCTGTAACTATGAAGCTGTAGGTTGACAGAAATTCACTGTCTTTCCGGAGGAACATTCGGCCTCCATCTTCTGGATTGCACATACCCTAAGCAATAAACGAGCAAGAAGCAAGAAGTAAGCCGAGTCACTTGATAGAAATATGTGCACTGATGGTGATAATTATGACACTTCGAATATCATAGTTGAGTTGTTAGCATCACTTCTTCCTATCCGGTAGGTTTCAGGTTTTATTTTCTGCCATCCTTACTGTGAGAGACATTTGCTTCCACTCGCTGCAGTTTCCATCCTGATAACCATGCTGCAAATTGTTTGAAATGTGTATGTACTGTAACTACGGTAAAAGCTGAGTAAGAGGTAAAATTGTCCCTGTGCTTAACTAAATAAGCATTACACCATGAAGATGTCTGGTGTGGATGTATAGATCCATGTTCGCTAGAACTCTGCATTAGCTGGAGGTGAGTGGGCAGCTTCGCGCCCCCAAACTCCGATCTCTATGTCATCCATCCCTTAGCCAGATGCTGTTCTGACTGCGTTATCCTTGCTCCGAATGTCGAGGGAATAATTATATACACGGAGAAAATGAATGCATTTTTAAAGCAATTGTCATCGCAGTCCGGGATAGCTCAATCAGTAAAGTGAAAGGCTACGGAATGGATTTTTTTCCCTTGGCACTACAGCCCCAGTGGGCCTAGGCCTACCTCCGTGAACTACTCCGTTCACTTCGGTTTTTCTAGATCTTACACATTCGGTAGGACTCCTTGGGCGGGTGATCAGCTCGTCGCAAGGACGGAATGGAATACCAGAATTTAACTGCCAGCATGGGTAAGAGCCACATCCGCGGGCCCATCCAGTTTCATATCCAAAGATTACCGTGGCTTCTATGTGGAAGGAAGGAGGGCGGCCTGGGCATTAAAGCAAACATTTCGTCTCCGTATAGTGCCTAGGTCTAGAATGCGTGGAGCTTTACCTGCACACCCGCGGCCTGATGCTTATGCCCAACGACGATTTTGTCCTTAACTTAACATCAACGGGGACACGCAATAGCGTAGTTGGTTGAGACACTATGCTACAAGCAGGAAAGTCGCGGGTTCAAGTCCCGAAGAGGTCATTGGATTTTTTTTTCAATTGACCTAATCCTTCCATCCGCACTATGGCCCTGTGGTCGACTCAGCCTCTAACATAATTGAGTACCAGGAATATTCTTGGGGGTAAAGAACTGCCGTCTATGAGCCGATTGTCTAGAAAATGTGGAACCCCAACATCTCGAAACCCTATGGGCCTCTACGGCCTGCTACAGGGATACCATTACTTTTTTACTTAACACCAACACAGTCACCACCACAACTTCCACCAGCACCAACACCAGCAGCATCACCATCACCACCAGCACCACCACCACTGCTGTAACTACAAAACCACCACCATCACTACTACTACCACCATCATCACTGCTGTAACTACAAAACCACCATCAGTATCAATACCAACAGCACGACCACCACTGCTGTAACTACCAAACCACCAGTATCACCACTACTACCACTATCATCACTGCTGTAACTAGAAAACCACCAGTATCACTACTACTACCACCATCATCACTGCTGTAACTAGAAAACCACCAGTATCACTACTACTACCACCATCATCACTGCTGTAACTAGAAAACCACCAGTATCACTACTACTACCACCATCATCACTGCTGTAACTAGAAAACCACCAGTATCACTACTACTACCACCATCATCACTGCTGTAACTAGAAAACCACCAGTATCACTACTACTACCACCATCATCACTGCTGTAACTAGAAAACCACCAGTATCACTACTACTACCACCATCATCACTGCTGTAACTACAAAACCACCATCAGTATCAATACCAACAGCACGACCACCACTGCTGTAACTACCAAACCACCACAAGCACCAAAACTTCCACCACAGGCACCAACATAGAGACAGGACTGACGAAAATATTTCGCTCATTTACACGGTTTTACCCTCAGTTATTGGTTGTAACTTCTTCCGTTAAGAGAAAGGTAACGTTCACAGATCATGAAATTATTTTCAGATATGTAAGAAAAAGAAACAGCGACTTTTCAAAACGTGTTCCCAAATTCAAAATTAATGATGTGTTTCGTCTCTTTGAATGTTTTGGAATTTGATCACATTCCTAACTGAAATGTTTTTCGTTTAAATCTAAACATTATATTTAACCTTGCAATACTAATTTATCTACTTTTCCTAGTACTCAGTAGCATGGGAGCGGGCAGTAGTGTAGTTGGTTGAGACATTATGCTTACAATTTGGAAGGTCGCGGGTTCGATTCCCGATGAGGTCACTGGATTTTTCAGTTCATCTAATCCTTTCAGCCGCACTTTGGCCCTGGGGTCGACACAGCCTCTCACAGAAACGAGTACCAGGAATCTTCCTGGGTGTAAAAGTCGGCCGGTGCGGTGCAGTGCAGTGCGTGAGGCTGACAACCTCACCGCCATCTGTGAGCCGATTGTCTAGAAAATTTGGGAGCTTCAACGTCTCACAAACGTATAGGCCTCCACGGCCTATTACAGGGATAGCCTTAGCTTTTTTTTTACCTAGTAGCATATCTGGGATTCAGTTATGGGGAGGATGGTTTAGGAAAATTATGTAAAAGTGTATATCATAATAAGCTTTCGGTGTGTTATGCTGTTAATATAGCGTAAATGATTGGCCCTTTTTATCAAATTTTCATTTTCTAGTTGTTTTTATAGGCATGAAACTATTTTCCCTGTTATTTCAAGAATTTTGTCCCTCCTAGCGCGCAGGCATTTGCGAACTGCCAACCAACCAACCAACCAACCAACCAACGTTCACAGTTGCACTAAATCCTTAACTGAAACAAATACCGTCAGACAGGCTTCTGCATACATCTTCTGCTCATCATTATAATGCTTAATATAATGAGACTACGGGGACAAGAGTGCATTGAGCCATCAGACGATTATACAATTTCATATAGAAAAGAAAATGCTAATCATCAATAATGACAGGCATTTTCTTACACAAGGGAGTCAGATCATCAGTTATGTAGGCTATGTTAGTAACAGGTTTTGAATGTTCTGAATGTGCCAGCGAAACATGATAAAATGATAATACACATACAGCATGCACAGAAGGAATGATAAATGATTGAAAAGTTTAGTCGGAAAGCCTAAAATGGAAGACATTCTGGCAGGCTGAAACATAAATGAGATATTGTCACATATCCGGGTTTCCGTGACTAATAATAACGGTACTTCTTTTGGCTTATTTTGGACTTCACCCATCGTCTGGTATGTAAAAGACAAAAAGACAAAAAACCACGACGTTTCGGAGACTGGATCTGTCTCCATCTTCAGGTGGATAGGGAAGGATAAACCTACTCAGTGATTGAGACTAGCTCTTTCTAAGGGGCCCAACTGAGTTGGTTTANCCAATTATGATAGGTCACGAACAATGACTGTCTAGGACTGGCTTC